ACTCTTGTTTACACCAACCTTCTCCAACCGAATACAAGTTGGCTTTACTTGCAGGGCCGTAACTAGGGGGGGAGCACTGGGGGCACGTGCCCCCCCCTTTAGACCAAAAGGTCCGCTTTTTATCACCATTTGTTGCTTGAAAAATAAAACAATGACTCCAAAAAAGTCCCCGAAAAGATCGAAAACTGACTATTTATCAGAGCAAAAGGTCCGCTTTTTATCACCATTTGTTAATTGCTTGAAAAAAATAATGTAAAAAAATGAAAACCTCGTTTGTTATCTTGTTTATTCACGTTATGTTTTGGGTTACCTGTGGTCTCAACCACAGGAGACTTGTACTAGAGCATGCGCGCGATCGACTAGTTACTTGCAGCCATTATAAGATCACTGCATGTCCCGGTCCACACATGCCGTTAAATGACCTTCCAGATCTAATTTTATTTGAAATCTTTAACTTTTTGACGACAAGTGAAAGAAKTACTCTACGTTGTGTGTGTCGAAGGTGGAACATTTTGTTAGGATCAGCTCAGGTGTGGTCGTGTGTTGATTTCTCAAACAAACGAGAATTAAGTTTGAAAGTCTTGGAAACATTTGTCTTTCCCGCTACAAGGAAGCTATTTGTTGACGAGTGTCATGTACTTAAATGGAGAGACATTTGCTTGACCTTGAAGCAGTGCAGAAAACTTGAAGTTTTATCATTGTCCTGGATAGGGTATGTGAACGAGCCACAGATACCTATTCCACTCGATTTCGTGAAATTGAAGATAGGACACTTGAGATACTTGAATGTAAGCCACTGTACACTGTCTGACAGATTTTTTAAAGACATTGCAACAAACTGCCCTCACTTATCAGTATTTATCCTTTTGGGGAGTTGTGGTATATCGGAAGAAGCTTTCAAGTCCTCCACCTTCAAAAGTCACACTTCCCTGAAGTTGATCAATGTTGCCTATGTGACGAATGCTTTACGATTATCATGTGTGTTGGGGTTGTTAGAATATAGAAACAATAGCGTCCTTCTAGATGTCACTGGTCATCATATTAGTGACGATGAAATGAACTTGATTCACCCACAAGCTTTTGCTAGAATCGTGGAGATTGACGATTACTGTCACTTGTTGTATTGACAAATTAATTCCAAAGACTGTTCGAGACTAGAAAAGATTCTGCTGCTGCTTTGACATCATGGGCYGTCGTGAACAAAGACAAAGAGAGAGAAGAAAAGCAGCAGCATCTTGTCAAAGTATTCATGATTTTTTTGTAGCAAAGCAACGTAAAGAAGGTAAGTTATAAATTGTAATTTTTATGTTATCTACTATTAATATACGTATTTGACTAAACTAATAAAGCACATAACGTTTGCGCACGGTCCGTATCAAAGTCTAAATATCTCGGAATTGAGCTAGAAAACGATAATTACTTTTTTCATATTAAGAAAGTCAGTAACATAGCAATCAGAAAAAATAAACACGAACAAAATGGGGTCGACGTGCTAGTTTAAGAGCTAGGAAGGRAAAAAAAAGCGCGCTCGTGATGAGCAGTGGCAAAACTACTCCCGAATTACCTTAACCGCATTTTGATGAACTATAGATACAGAAGAAACTGGACTCAATTCCGCACCAACTTCCAACGAAGCTCCTCTTGACGRTCCAACCGTAGCAGATTCTGCAGAGACTGGACACCATTCCCTGCATTCCGCACCAACWTCCAATGAAGTCCATTCTGACATTACAACTGACGATTCTCAATCAGCAGTTAATCCAAAATCTCCGACAGGTAAGTACAAATAATGGGTGATTCTTTCGATTCACTATCGTGAATGGAATAGATTTTCACAAACTCCACAAATTATTCAGAAGTCGTCTGACCAATAGAAGAGCCCATTATTATTATCGAATACGAGCATGATCTTTATTGA